CCCACTAATGGGATCGGGATGCGGAACTTGGGCAACAACTTCTTCGGACAAATAACTATAAACACACCCTGCACACTTTGTATCACCATCCTTTTCCACTCTTTCTTAACTTTCTAAATTAACTCTTTCTATATGCAAACCAGACTTAAGTAAACTCAAACGGAACTAATAACAGATGAACTAATAAAAGAAGCCAAAAAAATTATAGGACCTTGATGCTTACTTAATAATGCAAACAATAATAATATTGGCATTGCGGTTAGCTCATTTTGCAGTGCGGTTTAATATCGTTCTTGTCGCTGCACATGTGGCCGTGCTCCGTTGTGAGGAGGTCAGCAATGGAGCTTAGTTCCGATAGGTTTACGTCTGAAGGATATACTGGTTAGTCTTAACGATGTACCATGGCTCTAACAGCGTGAACTAATGCGGGGAATTGCTTTTGTTGTTGCCGCCTTAAAAACCTGAACAAAGGTCTATGTGCGCAGTGTGGGGTGATAAAATGTATTGCATTTTGTTTTTAGTTGCTCGAAAGGTCGTGTTCCGTTATAAGATGGGTCACCAATAGGGCTTTGTTCCGATAGGTTTACGTCTCGAGGATGTACTAGTTAATCTAACCGATGTACCACGAATCCAACAGCGTGAACTAATGCCGGGAAACGCTATCGTTGTTTTATTTTTTTTTATTTTATTTTTATTTTTGCGTTTTATTATAATTTGAATTGTGTTGCTGCTTGTGTGATCATGATCCGTCGACAATGGGGCTTTGTTCCGATAGGTTTACGTCTTGAGGATGTACTGGTTAATTTAACCGATGCACCACGAATCAAACAACGTAGACTGATGCGGGGAATTGCTTTTGTTGTTTTTACCTTGCATACCTGGACAAAAGTTTATTTGTGCAGAGAGGATGATAAAATGTATTGCGTTTGTTTGTAATTTGAGTTGAGTCGCTGTTAGTGTGGCCATGCTCCGTTATGAGGGGATCAGCAATGGTTGCTTTGTTCCGATAGGTTTATGTAATGTAACCAATATATCACGATCCAACAGCGTGGATTCTTTTTCTATGTTGTCAAATTTATTCAAGTGAAAGTGACACAATTGAGGTTGATCAAGTAAATTTTTAAATTTACTGTTTTTAAAACATTTTACAATGGATCAAGAATTTAATGTGATTTTCTTAGAATTTAAAATATTATTAAGAAAAGCGTTTGAACCTTTGTCTTCATAATGTTTGTCGTCTATAACTAAAAATGAAGGTAAAGAGTTTCTAGATATGTTTTCTTTTGGCTATTCCATCTAGTGCGCAAATAGCGCAATTGTTATAAATTTTTTTAATGACGCTATCAACTCGATTGATTTTTTTTTTCTAAACTAAAAATTTTTTTAAATTAAATAAATACTAAATAATTATTTTATGTTTTTATATACACTTTTTTTAAATTTTATAAAAGTATGCATCTCAATTTTAATAAAAATTTTTAAGATTTGGTTGTTGGATATCGAACACATTGCTAATAAAGATCATGTTTGCGTGAAATTTGTTTGCGAGCAATAAACGGTGATTTTTGTTATCATGCTCAAGTATGGCCATGTGTTCATTTTAAATCTTTAAATGAAAGGTGTCAAAGAACATTTTACTATTGTTTAAATTATTTGCACGGTTTAAACTATAATCTGTCACTGGAAGCTATTTCGGATATTATTTTGTGTAGCGATGTAATCAGTTGCTTAAAAAATCATTTACAAAAGTATCCTCTAAACGTTGTATTTTATAAAGGTGGTGAAATGGAAATCAAAGTTTTATAGAGTTACAAAAACGTTTATTATTATGATTTAAACAAGCTGAAGTTTCCTAAAGTGGAAATAATGAATTTTTATTACTATAAAACACCGTGCAACTCGCATTTCCGAAAAGAAGTTTTTAGAAGTAATCATTTAGAACATTGTGCAAACTCAAATGTTTAAAATCTACTTGTTTGACTTGATTATTCATATAAAAGGTTCAAACAAAAAAGGAGAAGAACTTAAAGATTTAGTGTATTTGCTACGAGATAAGAATTATTGCGAAAAAATAGATAAAACTGTTTGTAAATGTTTTGATAATATTTTTCTTGTAAATAATACGATAAATATTTGTATTTAATTATGTAATGTAATTTTGTAATGTAATGTAATTTTGTTCTTGTAATGTAATTTTGTTCTTGTAATGTAATGTAATGTAATTTTGTTCTTGTAAATTATACAATAAATATAAAAAAATAAAAATAAATTGTTTTAAAAACAATCCATCGTGTTTTTTGAGATTGTTGAAAAGAAACAATGAATGTCTATGGGTAAAACTATTTTCCTTTATAGCAATAGCGAAATGTTTATTATATGTATTAATGTAATTTTTAACAATATAGGCATTTTCTAAAGCTGAGTCAGCATCTTTATTTGTTTAATTTTTTTTCAACTTTTTAATATTGATATAGAGGGTTTCAAAAGTGTATTTTTTTACTTTGATCGCCATTTTAAGTTTTTAAGCCTGTGTCTTGATTTTTTTTTTGTACCTTACTTTTTTATGGGCAAAAATGAGAAGAAACTAGGGACACAATAATTTTAAAGCAACAAATGTATTTAAGATGAAATTAGGTACAATGATAAATTACATATATATAAAGGGAATGAGCGGGAAAAAAATCAAGACACAGGCTTAAAAACTTAAAATGGCGATCAAAGTAAAAAAATACAATTTTGAAACCCTCTATATCAATATTGAAAAATTGAAAAAAAATTAAACAAAAAAAGAATCAGTAATTATTTTTCTCTCAGTTTCTAGGCGTATGTTTGAAAAAGATTTCCTGAAAATTTTAAGTGATTAAGTTAAATATTTATTAAAATATGAGGTTTGAAAAACTTAAGCTGGTAGCAGCGGGTGACGTGTACGATTAATGACGTCATCGTTAAATTTTTATGCAATTAGTGTTAATTTTTTTTTAATAGTATATACCATTAACACTAGAAGTCTTAGGTTTTTTTATATACCTAGAAACCCTAAAGTGGATCAGTTGATTCAACTTAATTTTTATATGCATTTAGACTTATTTTTTGTTTAAATGTATTAAACTAACAGTTAAAACTGTTAACTTTGATGTAAATTATATAAAAAATATAAATTTCTTTCACCTTACATATATATAAATAGATTTTACGCCTAAATTACGGCGTGTTTTACTCTTAAGGATGTAGATGCTTTTATATAGACTATGTAGCGTTTTTCGAATTGAAGACATTATGAAAAACATTAGATTAGATATACGTTCAGAACGGAGAGAGCTGACAAATTTGCTCTTATGTCACGGGTGCTGACAAGATTGTCAAAAATGTTGTTGCTTACTAAAGTTCAGTGTCTCTTTACACAGTATATGTCTAATAAACCGGATAAGTTCGGAATCAAATTCTGGATTTTAGCTGATGTAAAACCAAATTTTGTCTCAATATCAAACCGTATCTAGGTAAAGATGAAAACCATGTAGAAAATTTGGGTACTTATGTGATCATGTCACTAATGGAACCTTTTATAGGTCGCAAGTATAATGTTACTACAAATAACTTTTTTACAAGTGTGATATTGATAAAGAATCGTTTATAGCTGATACAAAAATCATCATAAATCATATTAAATTATTTTTGATTTTAAAGGATCTTCGTTTAAATAATAATCGCATATAAAATCAACATCTGCATTATTGTTTGAACAAGTTACTTTTATTTGATTGCTACTGACTAAGCGAAAAATAATTTAAAATTACTCTTTACATCTTTCAAACTACCATTTGTCTGAAAAGATGTAAATTTTTTAGAATTATAAAATTGATCAGGGCAAGTTTTAAAAGCAATTGAATCCAATTTTTTAGTTAATAAATGAATTTTTTCTTTATTTTATTAAATAAAAAAAAAAAAAACTTTATTTTATTTAAAAATAAAAAAATAACACTATTAAATATCATAATTTAACATTTTATTATTGGTAATTCATATCCAACATATATATCCCCTTTATTTACATGACGAATAGTATCAGAACGTATTTTATAATAGATAATAAAACTTCCTCAAAAAGTAGAAATGCCTGTATGTACTTCTTTTTTGTTTCCACTTAATCTTTTTTTTTTTTCTTTTTTTTCACTTTGTTTCCACACTTAAAATATTTTAATATCAATATATATTCGCCATGACTTGTAACATCTGCTTTTATATTATATATATTATTATATGCTCTTATAAGTTACGTAAGCGTGCATGCGGTTTTGTTTTTTTGTATATATAAATTTTTTTTTTGCATTTTTATTATCTCTAAGCACCCTTCTCATTTTTTTTACTTATAAAAAAATATTTTGGAAAAAATATTTACATATTTTTTTAAATAAAATATTTTCACTTGACACTGTCTTTACTTATCCTGTCTTACCTAAATTATTTTATTTTACTTAGTAGGCCTTCTTGATATTTTGTATACTGTATTTTTTCACAACCGGTTGTATCTTATCTGTATATTACTTACTTACTTAGTCTATTATTCCTTACTTAAGCCTGCTCATCCAATCGTGCAAACACGCTCGTTCATACACGCTCAGGACAATCACCAAAACTATGCGTCTCAATGAGGACAATCACCAAGTCTTTGTTAGCGACTTAATGTGTTTAACATATAATTTTTTAAACTTTCTAGACAGACTCACCAAGTTTCAATGTACTCACCTAGACTCAATGTTTATAACATATAATGACAAAGCCGTTTGATGATACACCTATTTCTCAAAATCAAGTTAGGATTCTTCCATCCATCCATCCCATCCCGACCGCGTCATAATCATTTTTATTCTTTTTTTAAAATAAGATTAATTTTCTTTTTGTTTAGTGTTAATTCGGCGTTACAAAAAAATATATATATATAAAAAAACATTTTGTCAAATTAAATTAATTGTTAAAAAGTTGTACAAAAAAGCCAAATGTAAAAAAATTAATGAAAATAAAATAACTAAGTTAAACGAAAATAGTTTGTAAAACCTGTAGCTGTAAGTTTATTAAATGTTTTTTTTAAATAAATGTTTTATATTTAATATTTTTATAAAGTATATATGTTTTTTCTAGATTGTTAAACCATACGTTTCAGAACAAACGTATAAAACGCCGCAAGTTTATATTCCTCGAGTGGTTGAAACAAGACCACTCGAGAGGATAGATGAACAAATGTATAATGGCTAACTATTTTGACAACATTCCAGAAATAGACGACTGTAAATTAATAAATATTATTTTTTATACACCTAATATTTTTTAAAAAAAACCTAATAGTTTAATATAATTTTTTTAGAACAAGTGCGTATGTTAGATTTTATTGTGCATAGAATAGATCAACATTTGCTACGCCAAGATAACGATAACGAATTTGCTACGCCAAGACGCGTGATATGCTTTTGGTTGTTGTTTGTGTGACGAAGACAGCGTACATAATCATTGCTGTACAACAACCGTGTGCCCGTACATACAAGAATTATTTGAACGGTGCCGCGGTTGTGTTACTGTTTGTAAAAAAATAATTGTAAATATTTGCATATAAGTTTATATTATAATAAAAAAATCATTTATCAAAATAACTTTTAATGCGACGGACGATTGTCTATTAAATTTATATCAGGTCAATTTAGATTTAAAAAAACATTTACAGGAAAAGCATTTAAATCAAGGTATTGTAATGGATAAACTTCTCTTAGCCGAAGAAAGTGAATTGGATAGTTGTAAAAGAGTATACGGTTTTTATATAAAAGATACGAAAATTATAAAGAAATATCAAATAGAGGTAATAAGAGTTCTTGATATGTTATTTAAATGTCTTCCGGCTCGCGTAATTTATTCTGACACGTGTTATCATAACTATAGTTAAAGTCATTGAACGTTGTCTTGATGTGTTAAAAACATATTATTATTATTTTACGTGTATAGACAAATTGTATATAAAAAAAAAATTATGTAAATAGTTTAAAATTGATAGTGCAACAATTGTGTTATTATTGTGAAGGATTAGTTAAAGGATTATATTTTCAAAAAGATGTATTGGAATGTTATCATATTATAAAAAAGAAAGAGGCAATATATTGAATGAAAAAATTTATTAATGTTTTGTTTTTTCTCATACTAAACTTTTAACAAAATTTTTAAAGTTATTATTATTTAAATAAAAAAATTCTTCGTCTATTAAATTGAATATTTTTTTACGTATTTCGTAGTCAATTAATACAGCAATACGATGAAATTCTTTTAAAACTTTAAAATTATTGTTTCCATATCGATTTATAGTCAATTCCATAAAATTTTTATATTTTTAGCGGTTAAAGCTGATATGAGTATCGGTATCGTATAAATTATAATTTTTTAATTTCATTATGAATCTAAAAAAAAATTTTATACAAAGTTTTGAAAATTGTTATTGATTTATTCAAAGAGTTCTTTATTTCTAAAATTATTTGAACCTCTTTGAATATGTTCGTCTACAAAAACACCAATACGTTGAAATTCTGCAATCGGTCCCGTATCGGTCTTTCGCTATCTTTATAAGAGTTCTCGCTTCTTGAGGGTTTTAACTGACATATCTTGTTTGATTATTTTTTACAAGTTTCATTTTTTTTTGTTATGAATCTAAAAAAAAAGGAAAAAATTTATTGTGATAATACTTGTTTTACAAAATTATAAAATTCTTGTTTAATTTCTTTTGTTTTTTTAATGTTTTTTAAATTGTTTGTTTTAAAATTTCTTCTCCGACCATCATTTGAAATCTATGAAATGCTCCCCACGCTGATTTATTATTTAACTCTTTATGTTGTACATTTAAAACTTGAAATGTACAACATAAAGAAAAAACTTGAAAAAATGACTATATTTACAATAAGCTATTACATATATTTATATGCTAATTACCTTTTAAGTATTGAACTTGAAGGGCTGCTTTAACTCCTGCAACTGCACAGATAGAAACACATAGTTGTATAAATTCAAATTTGAAGTCCCAAAAAAGCCATTTTAATTAAATTCTCATGTGTAGGTCATTAAAATAGATAAAAATAAAGCTAAAAAAATTAAGAATTTGATGGATAACATAACCATATTCCAAAAAATTTGGAAAATTTGAATAAACATACTTTTCGTTGCCAAATATATATATATATATATATATATATATATATATATATATATATATATATATATATATATATATATATATATATATATATATATATATATATATATATATATATATATATATATATATATATATATATATATATGTATATATATATATATATATATATATATAAACACCCTGCCCCTTTTATTAACTAAGTAATTTTTTTGTTTTAATTTTTCATAAATACTTTAGGATCAAGCAGTGTTTATTGCTTTAAAAATTATCACATTTACTTTGCACCCAAGAGAACTAATCGCTTATAAAGTATGTACAGGGAACAGAAGCAGTGAGAGCCCGCTTCTTTTTTTATTCAGCAAGTATCATTACGGTACCTCCAATGGCTAGAATTTTATAAATCATTACGGTAATTGCTCGCGTTGACCGTGAGGAGGGCAGCATGAATAAGATTCTGCTAAGGGGCCATCCATAAAGCACGTACATGTACGTACTTTATGGTACATATATGCAAAGTACGTATGTATTGGGGGATGGGGTTCCCCAAAAGCGTAAAGTAAAAAGCGCAAGTGTACGTAGTAAGTACGCGGTTTGATCTCTTCTAAACTTGATTTTATTTTATTAGTAGTTTTTAATTTCTTTCTAGAAATGAAAAAAGAAATTTAGCGCCAATCGTTCCACATAATTTTTTTATTTTTCATATGCGAAAAATAAAAAAGAAATTTTTGGAATGATTACGTAGCGCGCAACGTAATTTGATTGGCAGTGAGAATAAAAACAAAAAGACGTCAATTAAAAGCAAACTTTAAATTTTTTTTTTTTAAACACCATTCAAAAAAAAAAAGCATATGTACGCGGAGGAGGTGGTCTTAAAAAGCGTACAGGTTCGTACAAGGAAGGAGGGGATCCTAAATCAGTGGTTTTACTGCGTACGTACTTTATGGATGGCCCCATAACATTAATATTAGTCAATAAAATTAGAACTGCAAGAAGTTGAAAAGCTAATTTTATATTTAAAAAATATATCTTATTTCGGAAAGATTTGTAAACCAGGACAGGAGAAAGGGTTTTCTAAAGTTTTTTTTCTAAAACATATGGTCCCTGCTTTTAACGTAAACTCAAAAATTACCTCTTAGATGAAGCTTAAATGATTCCTTATGCTTCCTCATAAGTTTTTATATAAAAAACAACAATGATGAAATAATTTTTTTTCAATTAAAATAGTTTTAAATTGGTTTGCTAATATAAACTATTACAAAAGTAATTCTTCTGATATGCAATAGCTGCTCTTCTATGTCCTCAAAAATGAAAGTATTTTATTATTTTTTATTAGAATGTTGTTTACAATCTGGACACACCCTTTCTTATTTGGTTTATTTATTAACTTTAAACATTTTAAATGAAATGGCTTTCTCAAACAATCAATGTTATTGCATGGAAACAGCTCGCCATCTTCTTTTCCATTGCAATAACAATTTTTTATACTTATATTTAAATGTATATTTTCTTCATTTAACTTTCGAGTGAAATACTTAGCCGCTAGTTCTGGGAGTATTAAATGTTTAAACTTTATTTCACACTCTTTGATGATATCTTCCCACAACTATATATCAGGGAAAATGCGTTCTATGTGATAGTCTTTTTCGGTGTAAATAAAGAAATCACAATACCTTTTTTTGCATAAGTTTATCTGTGTTTTGAATTTGATAATAATATGGATGGTTTCTTGACAACTTTGTAACGCCATCAATATTTTGTAAACAAAATTTTTTATTTTTTTCAACAGCTTCAAAAATAAAATCATCTTTATGTTTAAATGGGCATTTTATTTCAATGCACCCATCACCACAGCAAGAGCAATAAACAACTGCATCAGGTGATACTCCCATATAAAAATACTTAGTAGACAAAAATAAACCACAAATCCAAATCTTCCAATTTTCATGGTGGGCACTAACAGCATCTGTGTAAATACTTAATGCTTTTTTCTCACAAATGTTTCCGAAGTTTGTAGCTTGCGTTGAAAAGCTATTAGTTACAGGATAGCAAATTTTGTTAATCAAAGATGTTTGTTTATTTTGATTAGAATGCATTACACTGTAAACATTTGATGCAGTAATTCTGCCATCACGATATAAAAACCAATTTTTTGATAGTGCTTGCTTTCTTGTTAATTCCTCAACAGCTTTTTGTTGTTCCTCAGTAACTTGACTAAATTTAATGTTTTCACAGTGTTGACATAACTCTAAATAACTATTCTTTAATAACTTTGTATCGTAAATTTCAGATAACATTTTTGGTAATAAGTTAGAATTTTGTTTTGGAATATAAATATCGTCATAGGGAGGTATTATAGACAAAATTGCAGGTTTAGAATTGCACAGACTCAGTTCTTTATAAAATATATCGACTTGTTTTTGTGATGGTCCTTTATACTTTTCCAATCATGACTGTTTGTTTTTTTTATTTACAAAACGTTTACTAGAAGTTTCATTGTTTTTTTTAAGTTTATCGTCAAACTTCCCAGTAAGCACAAAGACGTTTATAAAACGTTTTAAAGATGTCTTTAAGGAGGTCTAAAAGGCGCACTTGTAGACGTTTAGATCATAAGGCTAAATGACGTCTAAATGAAGACGTCTTTATAAAAACGCGTTTTAGACGTATATTAGACGTTTTTTTTAAGATAAATTTAAGTACATGACGCAACATTTTCGCGTAGTATGTGGTATATATTCATTATATTTATAAAAATGTATATTGTTATAATTTCGTATATATCCCAGCAAACAAAAAGACATCTTTAAGCTGTCTTAAAGACGTCTTTTCAGGATTAACAAAAACGTCTTAAAGATATCTTAAAAAGGTTTACGTTGTCCGTCGAAAAGACGTCATACTCAAGATTGCTTAAAGACGTCTTACTAAAGACTGGATTAAAACGTCTTATGTAAACGGCCTACAAACGTTTTATTTAAGATATCTTAAAGATGTCTTAAAAAGGTCTACGTTGTCCGTCGAAAAGGCGTCATACTCAAGATTGTTTAAAGACGTCTTACTAAAGACTGGTTTAAAACGTCTTATTTAAATGGCCTAAAGACGTTTTATTCAAGACATCTTTTAGGTGTTTAGTTTAAATAAAAATTAGCGTCTTAAAGACCTCTTAAAATAGCTAAGTAAATAAAAGACGTTTTAAAATAGCTAAAAATAAGTTAGCTGGATTGTATTTTTCTATATAACAACTTATACAGCATATAACATATATACAACAAAAACAATAAAAAATAATAATTCATTTTAGTTTGTATTTTTCCACGATGGAGCATTTTTTCAAAAATCGTCCAATTTGCTGTTTAGTATCAGCGTTTGAAACTTTTTCAAACTTTCTTTTTACAACTTCTAAAAATCAAATAAAATTTACTGGTAAAATAGTAAGATGTAAACTAGCCAAATAATTTTGTCGAACAAAAATCTTGAAAATAATTTTAATTTAACACAGATATTTAATTAAATACTAAATAATATTAAAAAATATTAATATGTTAAAACTCTTTTTTGTTACCTTCTAATACATCATATTGTTTGGTTGATGATAAAACAATCTTTCCAAAAGAACCTTTTAAGTTGAATTGTGTCAATAGGGTATTTATAAATAATCTATAACACATAATGAATAAATATAATTTATGAAAAATTAGCAATTTACCATCCCAACGGGCATTTTTTATATATCTTACGTTCTGAATGTATTTAAAGAAAGTATTTAGTATTTTACATGTATTTTAGAAACATAAAAGATTTTTTTTTTTAAAAAAAGAAGCAAATAATTTAATAAGGTACATAAAATACAGTTAGTTGGATTGTTAATTAATATCTTTCTATATAACAATTTACACAAAATAAAAAAGATTTCTATATGAAAATTTACAGAAAAAATAAAAAAGAATAATTCGTTTTATTTATTTTTTTCCCGCGAAGGAGCATTTTTACAAAAACGTCCAATTTGCTCTTTAATTTCAGCATTTGAAACCTTTTCAAACCTTCTTTTTAATACTTCTAAAAATCAAATAAAGCATAATGTAGGATGTATTCGTCAAATATATTCAAAAAAACTTAACATAGATTTTTAATTAAATTAAAAGTGCAATAATTAAAATTTTTTTTTGACCTTCTATTACATCATATAGTTTGGTTGAATGTAAACCAATCTTTCCGCCAGAACCTTTTAAGTTGAACTGTGTCAACAGGGTATTTGTAAATAATCTATAAAACATATCAAATACACAGTAAAATTTATGAAAAATATTAAACAATTTACCATTATTGATTTCCAAAATTACTAAACCTAAAAAAAATTGACAACAAAAAAGTACAAATATGATAGCCATTCAAATAATACTAAAACCTATTCATGACCAATCTTGTCAGTTGTTTAAAATCTTCGGCACATAAAAAACTGAGTTGTTTAACCTAAACAAAAGGTAGAAAAAATAATTGTAATACAATAACTATTTTTATTTTTTAATTTATATAGATAAACTATTTACCAAATCAAGTCTAACACAATCATCCAGTAAACTTTTGTTAAAGTCCTCAAACTCTGCAATTGTTTCTAACTGCTTGATTGCAATATTACTTTGTGGTTGCTTGTTTTATGCTAAAATAAGCTCTTACTTTTCAAGAACCTTTGAAAGCATCTTGAACATCATGTGCTGGTATTCTAAATTATATGAAGAAATGAAAAAAGAAATATATTGAATGCAAAACATTTATTTATACAATTTCAAAAATATCTATAGCTATTGTTTTTATTCCTAAAAATAATCCAAGTACAAAAAATATTATTTTGTTTCCTCCAATATAAAAAATCAAATAAATACTTAAGGACTTACTTCCAACTTCCATAGGAAATTGATTTTTAACTAACTTCTCTGGTCCAAGCGCAGTTTTTTGTACGTCTGTTATCAAAATCTTTTTTTTGGATTCTTGAGATTCGGGAGATAAAACTAAAGCAAAAAAAAAATATATATATACATAAATGTATATATACATATTTATATATATAAATATATATATATACATATATATACATATAAATATATATACATATATATATGTATATATACATATATACATATACATGTATATATGCATATAAATATATATATATATATATATATATATATATATATATATATATATATATACATATAAATATATATATACATATATATAAATATATATACATATATATATATATACATGTATATATGCATATATATATATATATATATACATTTATATACATATAAATATATATATACATATAAATATATATATATACATATATATATATATATATATATATATATATATATATATATATATATATATATATATATATATATATATATATATATATATACATGTATATATGCATATAAATATAAATATATATATATATATATATATATATATATATACATATATATATATATATATATATATATATATATATATATATACATATAAATGTATATATATATATATATATATATATATATATATATATTTATATTATATTATATATATATACATATAAATGTATATATATATATATACATATATATATATATATATATATATATATATATATATATATATATATATATATATATATATATATATATATATATATATATATATATATATGTATTTGCTTTAATTTTACCTCCTAATTTGTTTTTTTTTCATTTGCAAAGTTTTTCAAAAATTTTTGATGCATTTTTTTCTCACATATTTTCATTAAAACCCTCCCCAAAATCACAAAAGTTAGGAGAAGAAACTCATGGTTTTCTAATATAGAGACTTAAAATAAAAACATAAAAATTTTTTATATATGTTGTCTACAGAATGTATGCTATAGGAAGCCCAATTACATGTTGTCTACAAGCTGATTTTAAAGGAAAACAAATTTGTTATCAAAATACAAAAAACTAATACAATTTTCAAAAGTAGAAATTTTAGATAAAAACTATCAGATATCGACAGGGTTTAGGTTTAGGACAATGTACCCAAACAAAAATTTGATTGTTCCATTCCAGTTGTGAAGGTAAAAAACTTAGGCAAAGCTAAAATTAACAATAATAGAATATTCAACTTTAATAAAGAAAAAATTTAGATGAAAAAATTCAAAACATACATAATGTACCAGAATAAGATGTTGATTGTTCCTCTGTAGTTGAATGTTGAGGTAAAAAAGTGTCTGACAAAGCTAAAAACATTAAGCAATATTTTAGATTGAATAAAAAAATAAATTTTGAAAAAAATTTAAAATTAATAGACAAAGTCTACACACAACACAGATTTGATTGTTTGAAAGAAGTAGAACCAAGAGATAGACTAAAGTCAAAGGATCTCTTTAATGGATTTTTCTCCACAGATTTATAAACTGGTGGAGGCAAAGGAAAATCAGGTAACTATAAAATATAATAATTTTATTATTTATTTTTCATATAGTATTTAAAGAAGTATATCAATTTACAATATAGATTTCATATTAAAAAAAGAAAAAGAAATAGTAAATATGAATATAATTATATAAGGCAAATACACAATTAACATTACTTTTCAATTTAAAGGCACTTTTGGAAACACAAATATCTACTACATCTTCCTCCTCTGCTGCAGTGGTGTAACAATATTCTTTCAGCTCCTCCATATTATCTAAAAAAATAAAAGCTATTATAAATCCAATATAAACATCAGATATTTTTTGCAGTTTTTTACATCATTTATATTGCCTGTATATAATGTATGCTTGTGTGTGAATATTTAATACCACTTTCAAATTTGATTTTAATAAGTTTATATTTGTTTCATGTTTCATCAACATCCATTTCTTCTTTAACAGCTCTTCGATAAGATACACCTGCAAGCCAGAATAACAATTTTTTTTCTGTATCTATCCACTTTCTAGGCACAACATCTTCTATTTCCTCATAATTCTCTATCCAAACTGCTCTTGCCCAAATCATGGTGTAAAACTAAATCATAATGTAAAAATTACATTAAGGTTTAAAATAAAAAAACTTTAAAAGCTAAAAAATAGTCCTTACAATAAGTTGGAATAACAGTAATAAGTTTCAATAACAAAAATATAACTGTCTTTTAATTTATAAAGCAACAAAAAGAAATAAAAAAAACTATTAGGTTAATAACTATGGTGATAATGATGAGGAAGAGCCCTAATTTGTCTCAAGAAATTTACAAAACAAACAAAAAAAAAGATATTAAAAAAATGGTATTAAAATAACTGTCTGGGCTGTTTAAATTTTTTAAATTTTGTAAGCAACAGAAGCAATGTTATAGAAATTAAATCTCTTAGACAAATGATTTTAAGTTTACCTCATTTTTATTTTAAGTTTTTAATTTATTTACTGATTTTAAATGATTAACTTTTTTTAAGTTCAAAAAACTTTCAATAATAGCATTAAAATAAATTTTTAAATGAAGCTACAATAATCTCAATCAAAGATGATCTTTTTCTTTAAAATCATAACCTTGTAACAAACAAACAAGAGGAATAAATTAAAATTAAAGTATAAAAAGAAAAAACTATAAATTACTATTAATATATATATATATATATATATATATATATATATATATATATATATATATATATATATATATATATATATATATATATATATATATATATATATATATATATATATATATATATATATATATATATATAAAACAACAAAAACATACATTTATATATATATATATATATATATATATATATATATATATATATATATATATATATATATATATATATATATATATAATTTATAAAGCAACAAAAAGAAATAAAAAAAACCATTACGTTAATAACTACGGTGATAATGATGAGGAAGAGCGCTAACTTGTCTTAAATTAAAATTAAAGTTTAAAAGAAAAAAATTATGAATTACTATTAATATATATATATATATATATATATATATATATATATATATATATATATATATATATATATATATATATATATATATATATATATAATATATATATATATCATTTACAGTATAAGATTCAATATTAAACTTTGGTCACAAGATGAAAATTAATAAAACAGGATAAACATAAAATATTTCAACAAAAGTAATTTCTATTTAAAAAGATTTCAATTAATGTTCTATTTCATGCAACAAAGGAAAGCAAACAAGACCTTCCTTCCAAGGGAGAACAACAACTTTTCGAAGAAGACTTTCCATTCCTAACTCAACCACTTTTACTCGAATTTCATCAATATTTGGTATAAAGAAAATTTTAAAGGTTTTAGACGCAATAGGCTGTGTATATAAATCATCTTGTAAATCTAATCTAAACATTCTACATTTAAAAAAACCAGATGATAATTTCTCATCAACAAAACAAAATTGATTTTCTTCTATGTAAAAACATGAATTATTCTGCTTACTTGAAATTTTAAGTTTTCGAGGTTTTGTATTTAATAAAGATTGTATTTGTTCATATTGTTTGGCTATTTGAACAACAGGACTCTTTGAATTTTTTACTGCTTTTTTTAATGTCTGCATAAAATTTTCAATGGGAAAACAGGATATGTCATTTAGTGAACAATCAAATTTAACAACATCATCGCAAATATGAAGTAAAGAGTGAACATTGTAAACACAGAATGGTTTTGTATAAAAATATTTTGAATTTATAACAAAATAATTTAATAGTTCTCTAGCGAATGTAAGATAATGCTTTCTAAATCGATTGTCCTCATTAAAGAGAATCACCATTGCAACATGCAATGTTAGAAAGTGATTGTAAATTTCTTTACTAACAACACCCTTTAAAACTAAGGGTCCAGTGTATAAAATAAATTGTCTAAATTCTGTAGCTTTCCATCGATCTAACTCCAAAAGGGAACGTGGTTGTCGAGCAAATTCAGATGGTACGTAAGCTTAACAGATTATCAGATATATTCTTTATTTGGGCATTTGAAAGTCTACAATGTTTTGGACCTGACTTTAAAAAGGAATGTATGCGTCTTAATACACCAAGACAAACCATGTGCATATAATCCAAAACAAAATCAGAAATGCAAGATATTTCAAGTTGAGCTAAAGGAGTAAGAGATTTTTGATGTTGAGTGTACACAAAAGTATTAAACTCTTCAGTTAATCTCGGAGTTGATGGCTTGTTATCAATAAAAACAACTCTATGTTCTTCGTATAATCCTTTAACTTAGCATCGTTCACATGAGTAATATCCTGTATGACCTTGTATACATTTAAGAAAACAGCGAGAAGGTGCATCACATATGAATGCTTTTAGTGCAACTTTAAATTTGTTATTATTATAATAAAAACCTTCGTTAGTTAACAATAAAATCTCTTTAATAAAATCATTAAGAAAATCATCTAAGCAGTTTGGTTTAGCATCTCCACAGAAAAGTGCAATAATGAAACTATAGTTCTCTATTAGACCAAGTATTGGCCATAGTTGAAGATTAGAAGATTTAAAAAGAGGTAGTCCATCAACATTAATAGTAATAGATAACTCGGTACTTTGAAAAGCATTTTTTGTATTCATAAAATAATTTAAGCTATCAGCAATAGTAAAATACGCATAAGTTCCACCACACTTCTTATGTACTTTAACAACTTTAAAGGGTTTTAAAAGGGTTCTTGCATCATTTGGCAACTCTGAATGACCATATTTTCTAAGAATCATTATAAGTTCGTTTAAAAGACTTTGAGAAATTTTGCTTTTCGTTGACCACACTGCCAAATCCTCTGATAATGTTTCTGTTGTCAACAATAGTGATGCATTATAACAATCATAGTTCTCATATCTAAAACTTGAAGATGAACTGGTTACTCCGCATTCTTTAAAATCATTATTTAGGGCTTCAAAAGGTACCAAAGGTACAAAAGGTATTTCAGGCTCAGCATAAAAAGCATTAAGTTCAGGATTCAAATCAGGTGTACTAATATTATTAATTTCATCTTTTTCATCTTCAAATTTCATAATAAAATCCAATATACTTTTATTTAAGCGACGACGCTTCGTTCGATTTTCAGTTTCCATAATAATACTTTAATAAATCTTTTTGCTGGAATAATGGTTTAGAAAATTAATGTTGGTTGAAGTAAAACTTAACTTTATATAAAAAAAACTTTTTGTTGCCGTGAAAAATTTCGCGTAGTTAAAAGTCTTTTTTAATGACGTCTTTAATAGGATTGTAAAAATGTTTAAACAAATCCATAAATAGACGTATTAAAGACGTCTTACAAAGACGCGAAATTTTTTTACGACCAAAAAGTTTTTTGAAGACGTCTTTAAGACGTACATATGATAGGTTAGATTAGCGAAAAAAAAAAAGTATATATCAGTATACGTCAATTAGACGTCTTTAAAACGTCAATCAAAAACAAGACCATTTAAAGACCCAATTAAGACGGTCTTAAAAACGTCTTGTGTTTGCTGGGATGAGATATACATAGGAACCAGCAATTAAATTAATATTGCTGTAATCACCACCAACGGTTGATGCATCAAAGATGAAAATAATAAATACCAATAACAAATATATATCAAAACAGTATTTAAAACATTTATAACTTACCTTTAGTTATAATAAAATTGCTAAAATAAATTGCTTAAAATAAATTAAAATAAATTGCTTAAAATAAATTGCTAGCTAATTTTTGACCGCATACTTGACTTATTATATGGCTTGTGGGTGTATAAAAACTAAAAATACTGGTATTTAACTTATATATTATTCTTGCTATTTTCACTTATTATCATGATCAGTCAACTATCTATTAAAAAAGCAAAATAATTACTAATAAAAAAAAGATATATTAATATTATAGCAATTGTTTTAGTAATTCCTGCGACAACAATTTTAGCAATTGTGTAAAAAAGTAATTTAATTCAAAGTAATTTACAATTAAAACTTGAACAAATTATTGAAAATAATAAAAACTATGTTTTTACTTTGAATATACGACATCTACTTAACGCGTAATGACAAAGCCGTCAAAAAGAAGTCATAATGACATATTTATAAACAGGTCTCAGAAAAGACGTCTTTTAGCCTTATGATCTAGACGTCTTTCAATGCGTCTTTTAGACTATTTATTATGCGTCTTTTGAACGTCTTTTTAAACTTTAAAAAGACGCATTTTAAACGTCATTTTAAA